TTACGATGTCGCCGTGGCTCACGATTAGCTATCTTCACGTAGAAGCCGCGTACTATAGTCTGTATCTGGTGGCGGAGCTTAGAAAATGGGATAGAATCATATCTAATAGCTCTTAGTTTTTTTTTTGTAAAGGCGGCCATTTTGCAAGTGCCAGAAAATTCTGGCAAGCTGTTTCCCATGTGGACACTCAACCGAAATGGCTCAATAAGTCAGTGGTCCCACTAGCGTCGCTTGCGTCAAGTCAGCAGCCGTTAATTAGAAGTATTTTATGAAATTGCAATAATTTAGCGCGGCAAATTAAAGTAAATTAGTACAAGAATAAGAAAACAAAGTGTAACATTAGAAGAAAAGTGTTTTGCTACAATTCTTCAATGGGCTGTAGCTCCGTTTACTAGCTAATTACCTATGAAGTTACGTGGCTATATGTATACTTGGTAGTCATCCAATGTGAGTCCAACGGAGATTTGCTATTTTATTTTCATAAACTCGCGAAAACTAAACTTGTTACCTAAAGGGCACTCCACGAAACTAAGAAGTACATAACTGAAATAACCGTTGGTGCCATAGTATAGGACGGAAGAGGACTGCCTTGCTGGTTAGGGGAAAGTTTCGATGCGAAAAAAAAAAAAAGAAAAGTGCGGAGCAAAAAACGAGAAAACTATTGGAAAGTTTGGGGTGTCGCTGCGGGCTGCACTTCACTTTACTAGCGTCTAAAGGATCTTCGCGAGTGCCTCGTCACTCGATGCCTCATGCTTCTACTACCATCTCCGACATTAGTTTCACTGTTGGCGCTGGAGTCGGCAGTGCTTCTGGCGTTGTTACTAACTGGAGGACTGCCACGAGAAAGGAGAAAAGAACCTTTAAGCAGAAAGGCGGGAAAGGAAGGGTGTTAGGTAGAACAAGAGATAGGATAATGTTCTGAGTGCCAGAGCTGCTACTCCCGAAGGCTTCATAAATTCGTAACCGTAGCATTGTCGCTTTATTATTAATGCAACGCTACTGGATGCACTTGTCGAACCGCAGCGATTCCATTTTATTCTTTTTAACAAATTTCTATGGCATGCCTATACCTATATATAGTCTCATGCTAATTTTCAAGGTATTTTAAGATATGTATCTTACTACAGCCGTACAGGGCTGTTTAGGATTATTGTATCGATCGAAGTTAGTTCTACTATAGTAATCAATTGGACGTCATAGTTTGATTTCGTATAATGATTCGAAGTAGTTGCACTTTATCAAGGGTCAAAACGTGTTTCGGAAGGGCTGTCGTCTCACAAATATCTATGTAAATGAATTTCTCAAGCGTCACCTTTTATTAATGATCGATTATAATTCGTGATTCAGTTGTAGCACTATCCTCAGTAGGTATATTCTATTTTTATTGTACATTTTACGTTTTAATTCATTGCTATAGTCGGTCCACAAGTGAAACAGCTCAAAGTGGTTGTGAAAGACTAATGGTTTTCTATTGATTTTCATTGACTTGCCACATATCATCTTTGGTAAAAATGACATAATCTGAATCATCAGTCTTCATTGCTATTTGGGGAACAGTACAGGATACACGGTTAATGAGTAGGTGGTTGGTTGAGGGTTGCAACACGGGGGGAGTAGTTACTTGACACGCGAGCATCGAAGAAAGAGGGGTGTGTCGATGCTAGTTATCAGTGGTAAACTCATTTCATTAAAATCGACCCTGTATATGTTTACAGGGTAGCCAATATACTGAGTGCTTTGGTATCAGAACCCATTATCGTGAAACTATTCCTTATCGACATCTTTGTCCCGATGAAAATAGTCAGAAGCGTGAAGGCGCGTGTAATATACTCTAATCAGTCGATTCTTTTGTTTTACTTGTTATACCAAACTTTAGTTTCACTTAAAGAGAGAGAAGGGGCCCCCCCTTCATTCCCCCGGATGTTGACATTCAACTTATTTAGCACTAAAGTGCCTTCTGAAGTTATAGCTGCAATTTGATTCCTATGACAAAATAATTACCAAGTAGCATTTTAGTTCTAAACGTCCTATAAGTAATAAATAAACTAAGTCCTATATTATAGTCTACCCTATATATATATGTATATATAAATTATACTCATTGATATAAAAGAACGCGTAACAGAGAGGGAGAATACTTTGTTGTTTCTTGTTAAAGAAATAATGACTTCCCACCCACTTGCCTGGTGGCTTCCTCCAAGGAGCAATCCGTCAATGAGTGAATATTTGGACATGATAGATCGGCCGGTCGACTTGTCCACGTAATAGAATAAAAATTATGGTAAGCCTTGAGAGTAGGCAGCTGCCTACAGGGAAAGTGTTTTCAAAAGTTAGAGATGTTAGTCTCACCGTGCCAAAAATCCGAGCAGGAGCAACGATAACAGCTCCTTGTATTTTCTAGGGACGCCATTATCCTGAGAGATCTTGAAGGAGAGTTTTGCGCAAAACAACCAGTTAGTTAATCAGAAAATCGTTTTCCCAGTGAATTAAAGCCAATTAGTTTAGTTGTTATTTGTCATTCTCTTTCTTTCTTTTATATTCGCTGCATCCTGCTACAGGATTGCTGAAGGTAAAGGTAAATAGTTTAAGAGGGATCTGGAATATGGAGACTTGCTTGAGGATACGGATAGAGATATATGTTATCTAGTAGAGGTTTAATGTTGTTTCGAGGAAGTACCGATGGAAGCAGCTTCTCTATTCTGATCGCGGACACCGGGCCGGTACCCATTGGGCCGTGTTAACGTGGTCACTCGGTGGGAAATGGTGTCCCTCCTGGTTCGTAACTTCTATCTCGTGGCTCGTAGTTCGCATCGAATAGTTGAGGCTTTGGGTCGATGGTGCGGAATCGAAAGGAGAAATTCTTCACCGCGACACACGCTTTTATTGAGAATTGAAGCTTTTCTTTCCTCATTTAACTGCAGTCAATATAGTCATAGACATTAAACTCTCAGGTAGTTGTCAGACACCTTATAATGATACTGTTATTTATAGTTAATTAAATTTCATCGACGTTATAATCGCATGTAATAGGATTATGAGCGAATAGCTTTATCTGCGCCTCGGATAGTTATCTATTGTAGACCTACGTAACTGCATAGATATGTCACATATGGTTCTGGATATATTATACATATCTAGTACTGCGTATTCCGTGTTTCCTCCGATTAAACCTGATTGTTTATTAGTTTTGCTCGCAATACATACGATTTTCCATATAAATGAAGCAGCGCTTACCTATTTAGGTATGTAGTTGTTTATGTATAGGGAAGTTGCGGTAAGAAGGACACTCATAAAAGTAGTTGAAGGTGGGGCAATAGTGACATATTTTTGGAATAAGTATTACTTCCTCGAGAGAGAGGCGTCTAATACATGGAGAAGGGTCAAAAAAGAGGCAAATTAAACAAAATATTTTTTTAGAAAACTATGAACTTAATGCATCCATTTTTTCATTTGTAGATTCTTGTTTAAGATATTTTGCTACAAATTTTATAGAAATATATTCCGAAAGGCGGAGATAAAATGATCGGCGCCGGACGTGTTTTAAATTGTAATGGTTTCAGATATCAGATGTAGTTTTTGCAGGATTCAAATAAAAGCAAAAATCTAATTAAATTCGTGAAACATAATAATAATCTATTTTTGTAGTATTCTTTCTGAGTCGTAGCTTTTAATAATCGACAAAAACAAACGATTCTCTTTTAAAACAGCTACCCTTAATTTAGCGACCGTCATGTTGTTACTAAGAAAAATTTGTAATATGGGCTACGATAAAGACTATATTTACTAATTAATTTTAAGAATTTTTTGAATTTTTAGTTTCGTATGTACAAGCTCTTTTAAGCGATTTGTCTTACCCCATCATTCCCTAGTACAGATTTTATGTGTATCTTTCGTTCATGTATGATTTTCCTATTACAAATCGCGTATCATTTTGGATCTCTGGATAAAGTAGCGTGATAAGAGTTTCCACGATAGAGAGAAAGAAAATAGAAAACAGAAAATAACGAACTCATCCCTTTCGCCATTTCTAGCATAAAACTCATGAGGGAGATTCGAAGAAGGAAGGAAAAAGGACATCCAGCGAATCCTTCAATGTGTTCTGCTTTAATTTCAGGCATGTATATGTGCACATATGTGCAGAACGTTCAGGACCTCCACCTCTCCCCCCAGTCCCCGCCATACTTCATGTATGGCAAGGGAGATCGCGGATCAGACACTGTCGCTAGCTTTCATCAGGGATTATCCTCTCTCTCTGATTCTCTCTGTCTCTTCCGTTCTCCTCCGTCCACGTCTGTCCTCCTCCACTGGCGTCCTTCTGAAAAGTTAAACATCCCCTTACACATCCCAGGGTAGCTGCTGGTGATTAGTGCCGCGTCCCCTTCCATATGACAGTTTTCATTTACGAGGGACAAAGGTATGCCTTTTTCAACGAGCCGGTAATCAACGAAAAATCCCTGGACATCATTAACGTCCCCAAATTCTTCTATACACTTCAGGAAGAAAGAGGCCTGACACTTCATGCATGATCTATCTGTAGGTACTATGCAATTTTTGGCATCTTATGACTGTATTATGTTGCATGAAATCCAATTTTCTTGTTTCTTTCCTTTTCTCCCAACCTACAATTATTGTTCAAGCTGGTCGTCTTCTCCGCATTATCATATGTGGGTCTTTCATAATTCTAAGAGCGAAATCTTACAGTAAACTCCGTTTGGAGCAAATTCAAATAGCAAAACAGTTAGCTGATCCTCGACCTTTGTCTGTAACATCTTGACAATAAAGACGATATTATTATTATTACTCTTTTACTTGTCGTATTTCTCAAGAAAGAACAGAGGGGCTTCAGGGAGATACCATGAGACTCTGCTTTGACGTTATACCCCGGCAATATCAATCTGCTCGTAAATGTCTGTCAGCCACACCGATGTTCTTACGTAGCGTCAGTACAGGATGCATTCAGTTGGTTTTATGGGAAGGAGAATAAATTTCAAGAGCCCAAGTTAAAAGACGTAACGTATTTTTTGTTTTATTAGGATGATAATGATACATAAAACATTGTTTATATACGACAATGAACAAATAACTTTTGTCTAGAGGTAATAATAAATTAATGCGATTATAATATTGGGAAAGGGAACTGCGAGAGCGGCAGCCATCCTTATCGTGGAAGAAGCTGCTGAATCTCATGCCGAGTTCGAATTTGATACCTTCATCTTTTACACTTTCTAAATCTCTTCCTTTCTCACTATCACTGGTTTACACCTATACTTATGCAGTATACTTCAACTTTTGTATCGTTCCGATACGTTCCTTTTATTTTTCAGTTCGTAGCACGTTGCTTGGCATAAGTTTAGATACGCATTACAAATTTAGTGTATTGAATGGAGTAGCGACTAGCGAGTACGGTAATTGTATAAGTATCATCTGGAAAATATTCTTGACTAGCAAACCGACTCGTTTGTCTTTGAAGGGTGAAATGTTTAAGGGAGAAAGAATTTATGCAGATAAGTGCGGTAAAGGGACTGGCTGGGTGGTAGGCTGATTAATTGGCTACTGAGACAGGTAGAGCTCATAAAATTCCAAGAGTCCCTCGGTTGACGTCCGTTCACTTATCATTGAGTAAACTTTCGTTAGAAATCGAGCAATCCGACCAATTGTCCTTATTATCCTGTTTATTGAAAGTTCGTTTACTTCTTTATTTCTCACGGGAACACAGAATTTGGAATATGGTAAGCGTGTCGAATCGAGACTAAATAGATATGACACTCAACAAAGGAAGGCTTAAAGAATGTCGCGCGTATCGCGACCCCTCGCATGGTCCTGGGAACGTAAGGGTGCTTTTTTAATGTTTATTTAAAATTATCAAGCATCGTGTAATATATCTTTTTCTGTAAGCCTAGTCGTTAAGCTTCCCTCCTGCTCACAGGACCTGCTACCAATTCTCCTCGCTATCATCGTATTTAATATATACACTTTATATGTTGAACTTCTCTTTCTTTCTTGATACGTCTGTCTATTTTGCAAAGATACACTTCCAATGGGAATTGTAAAATTTTGTAGCGTCTTTAGGGTTTCGACATTGCGTATCTCGCAGCATCCTTGTATTTTTTTATGGTTGTCATCGTTACTCTTGGAGTTATGTTATCGTGTCCTCTTTCTTGGTTTTTTGTTCTCAAGGTTTTTTGAACATGCACACATACACACACGCACTCTTTCTCTCTCTTTTTCTCTTTCTTCCAAGGTATCTTAATCAGATAGGGTTTACTGATGGGAAGGGGGAGGGGATGATTCAAGCTATATACAGACGGGTGTATTCCTCAAAGAGGTCGATATGTCTCATTGGTGGCATTGGTGTAGAACTCCCCTGATACGGGAAGACCATTTTATAACTAACAGTTTAGCTTATTCTTTGGCGGACACGGATCCATTAGTTAAAGCCACAACCACGGTAGGTTCGGAATTTTCTCTGGAGATTGAGTTCGAGCTGCGTTCCAGGGACGAGTCCTGAAACAAAAAGGAAGAGAGCAATGTATATTAGCTTGATTCTTTTTGACAAACATGTAAAAATTACAATCGCAGCGAACAGGAGACGGTTATGGAACGTGAGTGAATAGCAATAGTGGAGACTGGGTCTAGCTTAGGAAGTTTCTCGGAAAACCCAAGCATTGTCCTCGTTTAAGGAGGGTGAAGGTGCGATTTCCTTCTTTTCAGCCTGAATCGTTGCTGATTTACACTTTAGCCTGAATGCCTAGTAATTCGAGCACTTTTTCTCATTTCAGGAACACTCGATGAAATAGCAGGAAAGTCCTCAATCGCACAACGCTCCCTGATTTCTATAACTAGGGATGATTGGTAGACTTAGATATTCAGATATTTCTTTCTTCTGTCATATTCTCTTAGCCTCATGTGAAGTGTATTTTATTATTTTCCTGTTATGAGTTTCACGTGTGTCGAAATAAAACATATATATCAGGACAAACGGGGTTGCTATGAGACACGTTTGATTCAACCATACTAAAGCATCTGATATATTCGCCGGTTTCACAATTATTTTTTAAGTGATTATTGCATGGTGCATTTATATACATGTATATTTCTCATGGTCTTGCTTACAAATAAGTTAGTAAGTAAGTACAGTCAAAGCGGCTAAAAGGTAAGTCGGATGTCGGTTGATTGAGGTAAACGATACCGTTTCCTAGTAAATTGCTTCCTGGTCGAAATCTCATTGATGAGACAGAGGGTTTCCGGATTGGAAGTGTGCCTTTCGTCATTAGAGCTGAAATAGTCCTCGAGGATGCCTATTTACAAGAATCCAGCTTACCGCAGAGTCTACAATCCTAGTGCTATGCTAGTTCTAATTCTAATTATAGTATACTTCCGACCATATTTAACCCTGGTTCTACCTAGTTCTAATATTGACGTAGAGTATCACGATGGGAATTGGACATCTTATACAATACAAATTAAATTTGTAGTATAAAATCATAAAAATTGTACTTTCATACTAGAAATATCAAATGTAGACGAAATGTCATTACTAAATAAATCTAATTACAGAAACTAAAGTTACTAAAACTTCAAATATTATCCAAATTCAGAGACTGGTAGGAATAAGGTTAACATAGATTTTAGGGCGGTGAAGTACAGAGCTGCGAGCTTCATCTTATCAAAATCATAGGTTACTTATTATCTTCGCTTGTAAACCTCTTGTGTTGAACTAAAAGAGCTTTCAGTGTCTATATTACTTACAGTGCATACATGTACAGTGAGGACAAAAAGTCTGCATACACTGCAAAGTAAAAACAAAAAAGTGAAAAAAAAAGAAATTCATATAAAAGCAGTAAAAAAAAATCGGAAATGGAGTTCGAACCTTAAACTATTTATTTATGAAAAATAGTTACAAATATGATTGAGGATTAGTTATAAAGAAAGGTATTTCTACGCCAAGTCTGGAAAATCGCGGCCAAAAAGTCGTCGTACACTAAGAGAATTTGTTTATTGTCTGATGAACAACGCGATCATTAATATTTTGTTGGACCCCCTTTAGCTTTACTGATGGATTGAAGTCTACGTGGCATAGAATGAACTAATTTTTTAGTGTAGGAAGATGGGATTTTCGACCATTCTTCGCGAAGCGCGATTTGCAAGTCATTTTTATTGGAAATGTTTTTATCGTGAATTTTTTTTTGTAGATAATCCCATAAGTGTTCTAGGGGGTTGACGTCCGGTGACTGTGGAGGGGTTTTAAGATGGGGGGGTTCACTGGTTCACTGGTATGAAGTATGGAGATAGGAGTAAATTAAAGGACCTCCTGAGAGGTCATTCTCTATTCTGAATTCTCTAATTCTGATCCGGATCTAATCATCCGGATCTAATCTAATCATCCGTCAATCCGGTCTGATCCGCTAATTCTGATCCGCTAATCTTAATTTTGGGGTATTATAGAGTATCCACTTTCTTGTATTCCATGCGCTGTGCTTCGGGTCGTTATCTTGCACGAACACCCAATCGTTATTTAGATTCATTTCTGTAGCACTTGGCCGAAGATTTTCTTTCAAAATCTTGATGTACATCTTGTAGTCCATAGTCCCATTAATGAAAGCAAGATTTCTAACTCCAGAAGCATTCATACAACCTCATACCATGACTGATCCCCCACCATGTTTCACCGTAGGAATTAAATTTTGTGTCTCAAATTCGGTGTTCGGTTTTCTCCACACTTTACATCGTCCACTAGTCTCAAAAATATTGTATTTTGACTCGTCAGAAAAAATCACACGTTCCCAGAAGTCGATTGGCTTATCTTTGTACTCTTTTACAAATCGCAACCGCTCTTTTTTGTTTTCTTTACTTATCCAACACTTCCTCCGAGCGAATCTACCATGATACCCCGATGTATGCAATACGTTTTTAACTGTACTGCGTGATATACTGACTCCACTTATATTAGTTATGTCTTGCAGTATTTGAGTGCTGGCTATTTTTGGATTCTTTTTAACTAAATTAGTTATTTTTCTACGCACACGATCAGTTACTTTCGTTGGACGTCCACTTCGGGGTTTATTCTCGTAGGATTATGCCGCGTGTACGACGACTTTTTGGCCGCGATTCCTCGGGCTTGCCGCAGAAATACTTTTTTTTCTAAATAATATTTAATCATATTTGTAAATATTTTACATAAATAAATAGTTTAAGGTTCGAACTCCATTTCGGATCTTTTTCTTTTACTGCTTTTATATGAATTTCTTTTTTTTTTCACTTTTTCGTTTTTATTTTGCAGTGTATGCAGACTTTTTGTCCTCACTGTATATTAAGAAGACTATAATTCTCTTAGATTTTCTTTTCGCTTTAACTCTGATATTATCTGTGTTATAGAACTTAGTATTACAATAATCAATCCGGCTCATGTGCTGTGATCCTCTAGATCTCTAACGCTAACAATATTTTTATTAGAATGTCAGAAACTGCAATAGAGTCGAAGGTGAGAGTTACAGAAAGTGAATAAAAGCTTTCGGAAGCGTGTTGGATTATACCAATAAATGCTATTACGTGTTTACTTGATTATTGTGAAATTGATTATGTGCTTGGGGTTGTGAAAGATAATCATGCCATGTTTCTAATGGTCGAAGCGAAGCCAACTCTCTGTAGACTAATCAAACTCCGACCTTCGTCTTTTGAAAGCAATTACTTTATCGGTGAACTACTTGTATAAGGATAAGAGATTTTTTGATATACCATTCCATGTCTCTTCAAATAGCTCTAAGTTTGATGAGAATTCTCTACTCGTTGCGCGCTAACTAAATATACGCAGCTGTCGAAAACGTCTCTAGCGCCAAAGATCCTTTTTAGTCGCCCTAGAGAGTGTTTCGTTAGGCAGTGGTTTCCTTTTATTAAGTTAATTGTATTAAATAATGAATTGCATTTCGAGGGTTCCGCTACGGGTTGAATTAAATTTCACGGAACTTTAGAGTGAGATGACATCCTTGAGAAGGTCTTTCTTTCTATAGTTTGTGCTAGACGACTTACAATGCTGAGAGCGTGCATGATACAGGCTTGGGCTGTGTTCTCCACATCCGTCAACTCGTCGCAATCCTCGTGGTCTGATCCGCTAATTCCTGATTGCATTTTTATGGGTGAGGATACGCCTTCGTTGTCCGTCGATTTGCCACTGTCAGGAGATGGTAGGAGTTCATGTCCATCCAGGTCTTCCTCTTCGACGCGTTCCTCACTGTCCGAAGCCTTAATCTCCTGCATAGTAAAAAAATGCAAAAAGCATTAAATGTGGTCTCACCTAAAAGCACAGGTATGCATATGCCTACACATAATTGCCATTAACGATTAGGTATACCCGTACGACAAACGCTTTGCCTGATTACGCGTACCACCCTGTAGGTGAGAGAGTCGAGCTTTAAAGGAGCGCAAGTTAAGTGTCATTTCTCTTTAAGCCTGTACGATGAGCGAGCCAAGGGCTGAGTTTAATTGATTAGTGGTGCTTTAGTGTATTTTGAAAGGCGAAACCTCCTGAAAGGTCGATGCTTCCTTCAACCATAGAATAAGACCATGCCGAGAGTCACTAGTCTTTGGTTTGTACACATTCAGTCCTCTGCTGTCAATTCCTACCATTAAAGGAAACAGAAACGCTTTAACTAATGTGCAACAATTCTGGTAATAGGCTGTCTTCTTGTTACTTCTCTTGCCTTAGGGGGATGCTTTTCTTGTATATACGTAAAGCGAGTTAAAATCTGTGGTTCGTATTCATATCTCGCGTTTTAGACCTTTTTTAAGAACCCTGAGTCACATGAGTATTTTACCCAAAGTTTTAGCCGTGAAATAATATTTATTTATTTATTACTCAACAATATTGTTCAAGTGAAGAACTTGATGCTAAAAATACTTAGGAATAAAATATAATATATAGATTTTTGAACATCAGCAAAATGTTTCCTTATAAATAATATGCTATTCTCATTAACACCTTTCGAAGGAATGACTTAGGAAGGTTATTAAAAACCCGCCTAACAATCAGTCGATAGTCACTCTTTCGTAGAATGCTATCCTTCGATTGGTTTTTGAGTCGTCTTTAGTTAAAAGTGTTCGAAAAAGTAAGATCTAAACACGGCTCTTAATATTTTTCGCATTATTACGACAATGTGTGCCCTTGCCATCTTTGCAGCAAACTTATTTAAGTATTATTTTATTGATCGCAACCCCTTGCTATTGCTATAGACGGAGGAAAGTATTTCCATGATTGGATTTCTTTATGTAATTAATAACTTACATTGCTTAATACAAGCAACAGCATTGACATTGCGAGTAGTTATCAGTAGTGTTGAACGTTTTCCACAAGTATTAGGGCGATTAAAAGGAGAAGGAGGATATGAATAACAGAAGGCGAGAGAAAGATAGAAAGTCTTTCCTTTTGATCTCCTTTTGCAAATGGCGTAGACCTAATAGCCTCGGCAACGGGACAATGGCAATTATTCGAAACAAAGCAGCGTCCTGGAAGATAATTACGCGCGCGACTTTCTCCCTATCTCTTTTGGGCCTTTCCTCGATGAACTGCCGTCCTATTCTCTTTTTAGATCTCCTGGCTTTTGGTTCCCAGTGCTGCGTGCCATTTTCTGGCTTGACTTTTCGATCTACTTTCTCCCCTGCCCTTTGTCAGAATCCCGATTGCAGCTGTTCAAATCTCAGTTCTATCCACCTCATCCCATGTCTCTTGATCTCAGAGGCGAGGGGCAAGATAGACAGGAAAAACGGCCAAGATTTTTGTCTAAAGAAGGCGAGATTAATCCGCACTAGAGATTCTCCGAGAAAAATGTCGAAATCTAAATGAAAAGCGTTCGAGGAGCTAACCCAGATTTTATGCATCGTCTCGCCGACGAACAATTTGCTCGGGACGTCTTCTATAAGATCCGACTCAGATAGGAGATAGGAGTAAATTAAATGCGCAGGGAATTCATTACCGCTCGAGGATAAGAACCAGGAATTCGCTTCTTCCTCGACGTTGAGCGTTCCAATAGAGTTCTAGTGCTTTGGAGTTTCACGACGAGGAAAACGGAGGATCAGCAAATCTGGCATTAAAATATATTCAGTTGGCGAACTGTGCCTACCGACTAACATTTATCTTGCTCATCGCTTTTGTCAGTCATTTTATCTTGCTGCGTTCTGTAGCCTGTCGCCCTGTCGATTACCTTAATTAGCAGAAATTACCACCAATTGAAACACTTGAAATATCCAAGAGAGTCCCTTTTCTCGCAATAAGTCAAAACTTAACAAGTCACTTCGATACGACTATTTTCCAATGAGCATATTGCTCCAATACCATTGCACAGCTGTTACTCGATTTAAACTGAAATATTTATGGCTGCGTCAAGTCAGAAACTATCGTACTAGTGAACTGTTAAACTGGCAGGCCCTAGAGAATTATCAGTTAGGAAGCCAAGAGACCAATCCTGATTTAATCGATTCTCCCTGAAGGCTAGAAGCTAGTGTAATACACCATCGGAGTACTTGCTGCACTTTGGAATGAAGTAATGTTTGCTAGACTCATAACAGGATTTTCTCTGTGAGGTTGAATGTAACGTGACAGTAGATGATACGAGAGGACAAGAGATAGGGGTAGAGCAGAGTACACTAGACTCTAGCGGAGTAGAGTAAAGAAAAGAGGACCTGGCGACCTCACCACTGTCCCTGGCGACTGTTCCATCTATCACTGAATGGACACGGCGAACCGTCACACGTGTTTCCCTATAGTCTCCGTGTAAAGTACAGGCACCTGTCGGCCTCTCATTAACTGATGGTCATGGCAATGGCGTTTCAAAGGGGTGAAATAGGAAAGAATCGAATAAAAAAGGGGTAAAAGTTGTTTATAGTTTGTAGATTAGTTGGAGGTAATATGCCAGTGACACTGTAGTATCTACTGCCGGGAAGACTAATGATGTTGCGATATTTTCCAGTATACACTTTTATTTTTGGTTACGTTAACCGTAATGTATATGTATACGGTTAAGTCTTACGTCTTATCCTCTACCTCTTCTTTTAGAAGTGCTTTCCAGGTAACTTCAACTAGTTTGTATTCACAATTTTTCGAGCGTACTCAGCTAATTTCAACTCCTGTTTGAAAAATGTGAAATATTCTCAGGTCACAAAAAAATTCGACTATATACTCCGGTATTTCAAACTCTTGATTCCTTTTTCTGTCCACTTTCATAATTAGGTTTTATGTTCTCCTTTCTGCTTTTCCTTGTAGTCCATTATACTACTTTGCTTCGAACATACCCCTGAATGTATCCCTATTATGACATATTCAGATAACTTTTAGAGGACTCAGGATATCTGACGACAAAATGGCCATCGACAATGTTCACGAGATTCCATAGCCGCCGTCCCCACAATGCATGACTATGATACTGGAGGACCCCTTGATGGGGCATTTTCACGTTCTACTAGCTATCAAATCAGTGCGCCAGATCTCTCTGCCTCTTCTATCGACTTGGCCTCCTAAATGTCCCTCGGGGATCATTGGACGAGCTACTGTCTTCGTTGGATCTTGGGTACCGCAAATTTTACAAGTCGCTTGCTAAACTACCAACATTAAGAGTCCACTAAGGAGATTTAGGGTAGAAGCACCGGGAAGTGAGAAGTGGGAAACGAACAAAGGCTGAAGCTTTCATTTCGTAATGGACTTCTAGTTCTTCTTTACTTGCATACTCATCGATTTAGTGTATTGCATGATTATAAATCCATCCGCTGGTTGATTTGTAGCATTTTTAGGTGATTCTCCAGAACAGGCTGGCATGAATTGATATGAATGTGAAGACTTGTGTTTAACATCGATGTCAATAGTATCGATAATTAGATTCCAAAACTTACTGCGGGTACTAAAAATATTATTATAAGCTTTTATCTATACGCATGTAAGAGAGATACATCTACGGATGCAGTTTTGATAGTGAATTTCCATCAAATGTACTATAATTTCGAAAACGAAGTACGAGTCGAACGTAGAGTAACCAACCTGCCTCTTTTAACATTTGTTGCTATTTCTGTTTGATAGTTTTATTTAAATTATAGTCATTTTTACACGGAACCAATTTTTGTTCAGATATTACAACAAATATGAATGATTTATGTAGTTTTCAGCGGTAATTATTTGAATAAAATTCATTACATGTAATCATTTCTTGCATTAGTAGTAAATATGTTATGGCGGTAAATGCGGTTATCATGAGTCAATTTTACATTGAAAACATATGTAAAAATTCCACTTGCACTACACAGATATAGCAAATTGATTAAACTGTTAATATTGATTGAAATATTGGCAAATTTATTGTATATTTGGAAACATTTTAAAATATTTAAAAAAATTTGGAATATATTGGGCTCGATTTCATTTTTAATGTTACAGAATTTATTCAATTTATATAAAATTTGGTGTCTTTAAAATGTATTATCCAATAATGCATTATACTTGTGTATTTTATTATATACACATAACAAAATTTCTTTCTTCCGTATACATATAAAATTAACATATTATATTATATTTTTTGTTTTTCTTCAATTAGCAAACTATTGCTTCAATGACAAATTCGATGCTTATTGTATCGTGAAATTGCTTAGTAACACCTGGGATATGAAAGTATTGAAAATTCAAAATTATTGTTCCCACAAGTAATTATTATACGAATATGTACGACAAGGCTTATATATATTACAAAGGAAAGTACCTTGTAATTATAATATTATAATACTATTAGAAGCTGCATCAATTTAGTTTGTTAATATGAAGTACATGCGATAGTTTCGAATTCATTTAGCTTAGTAATATTTATAAAACAATTTTTATCGTCATTTGCCAGTAAAATTAATCTCTTCGAAAGTAACGGTAATATCGAAAATATCTTATCTTTAACGAAATCAGGGTAAACATTTCTTCAACGTTATTACTGTCTGAAAAGGTAGTTTCAATCATAACCATTTTTCCGTATAGGGTTCCGTATCGCGATTTAACGGTCTTAATCATTGTCTCGAAATTCAGGAAATTAGAGAAACCACTTTTGGGTCCAGGTATATGCACACTTAAATTCGTCTCACTGTTAGTAAATTCTCTATAATATTTTCCTGCAGTATTGATTAAGAATAATACATTTTCGGCTGATCAATGACTCTGACAGCGACTACTGCTCTAATAGCTTATTGGATCAAGACATTCCATTAACACTATTTTGACCTGTGATTATTGACTAGAGGAAAAGCTTTTCTGTCATAATGGTGCAGTGCTTGAACATTTTTTGATACCTTGGTGAATATCTGTTCCCTGAACTTATACGACAATGTCAACTGTCAAAATTTCTAATAAATAAGTAGTGCCTATTTTCTTGCTATTTTTTGTGCGATAATCATTAGCAGTCTAAACTTTTTTTATCGAATCTGTCTATTTTCGACACTAGTGAAATGTAAGATTCTGCATTTTCAAAATGCTTTAAACATGTTTACGATCAAAATCGAGGTATGGGTCAAATTGACCCCGTGTGTTCTCGGAGAGCTAATAAGCTTTTTTTAACGACATATCCGTGCCATGTCCGAAAGAATTCTAATATAATTCGTTCGATTACAATAACATTTTAAAGGCGACAATTGAATATAATTTTTTTTAATATTATGATTGTAGATGCTTGACACTCGTGAGCTCAAATACATAAATTATATAAATTCACGTATCCAACAGACTCGGATTTCGTCCCCATGTAGTTTTCGCTTTTGTACTTATCGTAATATTTCAAATAATTTATTGTATCATAGGATTTGGATATTGCAAACATTTCAAGAGGACCTATGAATATATATTAATTATTTTTAACAATTGCGAGTAGCACTTTTCTCCGAAACCTACAGCGTTTATTGGCCATTCAATTCGTGATCAGGTTACCTTTTTATATTATCTGCGGAATTCACTGATTTAAGCGTTAATATAATTATTTCTTTCATTGTTCTGTTTTTTTTCCTTGCCTTCTTAAGCACCCTTGAAACATTATATTTGTATAGCTGGAATTCCGAGTACTTTATTTCTGTTTAGTTGTCGCCGTTAAGGGGTAATTTATGAAATGTATAAACTCGCGCCTATTTTATCGAATTTATATTGCCTATATTATTTTTAGACGTACGTAAATTATTATAGCATATTCCATTATTTCCTACCTCTAAATTCGTTTTCCCCGTGCCCTCCCCTATTGCTTCGATTATTTGGCTATTGCTGTAATTTATATGTATAGGCCCCTGTCCTTTCCCACATTGTTCCCTCAACTTGGCTTTAAGTAATATTGGAAACCAAATTGGCTGCCTTCATCACTACGTGTTCCATCTAGGTTTGAATTGGTAACTTTGTGTTTCGAAAATGATTGCTAACTACTCCATGTTTGCCTTTTCTCCATGTATATGCATGACCCTTTTCATTTCAATTAGAGCACAAGTACGTTGATTGTAGTTTCCTTTATTATTTGCGCTAACGTCTTCACTCCTATTCACCCTTTTGAGTTCCTACGTTTTTCAAACTCTGCTAGCCAGAGTCAGGTATTTAGTTTAGCGTAATTTTGTTTCCACTAAAAACTGCATAAAGGCAGTGTCAACGTTTAACAGTTCTGTTAGATTTAAAATAGGAGCAGTTGAGACAGATATTAAGGCAAAGTCTCGAAACTTAAGTTTTCTTTGATATTGCCTGGATTATAAATGGCATGTAGTAAATATATAAACACTAATTATTGCCATAAATTCAAAATCTAACGCATGTACTTGTAATATTACCAAAAAACTTATCGCGTCAATACAATTCGGAAACGTTTGTTTATTTAATAATTATAAACAAAACAATACTTGTGTAAAACTGTTGCCCTAGGATTGATCAATGCTTCATCATCTTTGGTATGGCTATAATGGTAATATTTTTTATCAATAATTGTCACTTGCTGCAAATGATAGGTTAAGTTAAATTAAGCAGGTTAAGTTAGGTTAAGCAGTGACTTGATACAATCAAGCAGCAGCTACAAAAATTCTAACAGGGTGGTTAAGGTTTTTCGTTTTACGCGTACGTTTATAAACAGTCTTACATAAGTTCTATTAATTATTCTAATTCCCTTAACTATTATACGTTCCATAAAGACGAATACTTTAAGTCTGCAATCACTGATGATTTTGGAATCTCCATTTTTTAATTTATCATTAGCGGGCCAGATGTGTGCTCCTTAAGTAATTTTTTGTGCGTTCATAGGCTATCTCGGTATAAGTTTCAACATATGTAAAAATAGCATATAGACCTCCAACTTTATTCGTGCATCTAAACATTGAGATAATACGCATCATTCGCTTTTGCTATTCATTATCTAGGTAAATCTCTTTAACTGATAAAAATGAAGCATTTCAAATTCCTGGTACCTTCTTCTGGTGTATCTACCGTTTAACTTATCTTACGAAGGAAAAAGTGGTTCGCAACGATCCATTTTGATTAGTAATTTTGTCCGTAAAAATGTATTGTTACACCGTATACTATTGCATAAAGTTTTGTTATGTTATCTCAACTTTACATTGCCAATCTACCTTCAACCTATCTCCTTCACTACGTATATTCCATTTTTTCGATATATTCCATATTAAAAACTCTAATTCGGGTATGTTTTCGGCGACACTAAAATACTTATATACATATATATTTTATATACATATATATTGTATATGTATATCAACATCTACAGGGTCAATAGTGATTAATGGCTGGGCTAGATCGTACGTTATCCATGAATTATTCAATCATACGCAGGGTGAGACTTAGGAGAGAGCATCACTGACGACGACGAGAAGGGTGGGAGGAAACGAAGGAAGATTTGAACAGGGTGGATCTACTCATCTCCCTTGGGTAGGTCGATTGAACTTGGAGCATTATTAAAATATTGTAAATTCCATGAAAGTCGAGCGATGATCATGTCCGCTGCGGTCTCGTGAAATGCCATCGGTGGATTAGGAACTTTGTACCTCGGATCGTAGTGCTCATATTTGGTTGAACTTTATACTAGTTCGCAGCCATCGTCCTCTTCTGAGGTCTATTTATTAATTTCTTTCATTGCTTTTATTTCCGACCCTTTCTCTATTAATTTTCCCATTATTTTTCTGGAATAGTCTCGCTGCTTGTTCCTGGTTTCCTAATGCGTTTCTGTTCACTTGAAAATGCGTGAAAAGTGAATTTTCCTTGTATTTTTAAATCTTCCAGAACCGGTTCAAGTTCTCCATGTAAAGTCGGGCGTCGCTCGAGGTAATACATTTATGCGACTGCTCTTAAAAATAATCAAAGTTTCCTGCTGAGCGCCAGTACGCAATTTCTCAAAGCTATTACCGGGAAGCAAGACTCTTAACTTTAATCACTCCTCTCATCCAGCTTGCTACTGGCTGGTTGGCTGATTACCTACGTAATCGTTTAGAGTCTTTAGAGTATCTTTAACTTAAGGTGTGTTGTTACTTTGTATACTTTACGTACCTGAAGATCGTGGGGTGAAGGCGAAGATTCTTCCTTAGCATGTTGACTGGGACTTTGGGGTGGACTCTGCGTCGTTCTGGGACTCTGAGGTTGCGTTCCTAGTTCGTATATGTTAATCATGTGAGCGGCCTGTGCATGGACCATGAGTTCCCACGCTGAGGGAAAGGCGTCCTTGCATAGGACGCAGAGTAGAGACGCCGTAGAGTCTCCTGTGGAAGAGGAGCCTTCGTCAGCGCTCAGTTCTTCGCCCTTCTCCCCTTTGGAAAATGTCCACTTACGACACTTACGAGGCGTGGCACCGTTGAACGTATGACACTTGCATGTAAATCGCAGCTTACAGTAATTCCGCTTGTGCTCCAGTAACTCTCCCAGATCGGTGAACATTTCCCGACAGTTGCCGCATATCAGAATATCCGGGTTACCTGAACAAAAGTCAGAATGTTCTATTAGATTCCATGATGATGTAATTTTCAAGATTTTTATCTTAAAATCATGCCCTCTACGTTAAGTATTACTGTCCTTAATCGCAATTAGAAAATTATAGTATACTGCATCGTTTCGTGCATACCAGTTACCCTATCGTTTTCCTAATCGACAAGAGTGTTTAGAACTACTTCGTGCTGCAGTGTTAAAGTGTCCACGGACGATTTTTTTTTTTCGTTGAAAGTTAAACACATGCGCAAACTTGTTGGAATATCTAACCCACTCAAAATATTTGTTAATTCCTGAAATGTTTATTTCTAGATGTTCGGAAGATTAACCAGGATTTTCAATTCAAATTAGAACTTCAAAATTTGCCAATTTGGAGGGGATCAGCTCAACGTCTTTAAGATAAGATATTCGCAGAATTTCGTATTTCCATTGTACTTGGTATATTAGAATCTGTATAAGCAGTAACGACGCAAAGATCGTTACTCGCACCAACAAGTTAGACAACAGATAAAGTATTATAAATTTGGCGTTAGGCTATTTTGCAGACGATTTCATTCACGCATTGGCTATTTCTAGGAAATGTGGCTGTTTTGAGGTTTGTTTTCAAAGAATTTTCAACGTAACAGCTTTTTTGACGGCTATACAGCGTGGTGTCACGCAAAATTTGTTTAAATATATTCAATGTCAGGCACTCGGAGTTGTGATGGGCTTAGAAAATGTTTCGTTAGGTTAGGATAGGATAGAAATCCAATGCTGTGATGTCCCAAGGTAGTAGGTAAAAAACATATCAACTCGCTATTGTGAATGCCCCTTTATGTTTTCTGTCCTCAAACTATACGATCAACAAGTTTATATATATGTTGTAACGTGGCGTTACAGAGCTGGAGGGGATACCACCTAGGAATGACCGAAAAATAAATAAATAGGACTTATCAGGTTCAGTGGCACAGTGGTAAGTGCCCGACTTAGCAGTCTGAAGGCATCGGCTTCGAATCCCGATCAGAACTCCTAATTTTTCGGAAATTCCTAGCCCTCTAGTGCTCCCTGGCGGCTCTATGGATAAAAATTAATTATAGCGGGGACGAGCCGAGCCGGGCACCCCGTTATAATGTATATACACATAAATATATACATATATGTAGGAGTAACAGGCAAGGAAAGAAGAGTTTCGATCTGATGTTGATGGATCTACATACGTGCAAAGGACAGACTCAATCAGGCAGTTCGCGAAATCGAATTAGAGGTCTGCTCAATTGTGGTCTTGCGGTGGCCATGGCAGTATATTAACGTTAGGATGTTCTATATTTATGGGGAGGATTCACCACTTGGTTACCCAATTAGTGGACAGAGAAATAGAGATCACATGAAATGCAGTTACTGAATGATAGGTGGCTAAGCGCATTGACAGTAACAATAAGAATTGGTTCTTTGGTTATTGCTCTGAGGTTAAGATGAGGTCAGGCGCTAGCCGTAGAACCGAGGTAATGCAAGTAAGAAAGTCATTCTATTAGGGAACGTAGAAATTGGTGGAAACCGAGCGGAACTGAATGTACCGAAGAGAGGTGAAAGAAGAAAGTAGCGGACAACTTTTCTTTCTTTCTTTGATGAAACGAAGCGTGCGACCGTTGGAGTAGGTACCAATAAAAACTTGTAAAATTTTTAATTTCGCGCCCTTCGACTCCACGGACTTTGGTAATTAAGCGAACGACCGGTCCCTTAACTGGCGTAAGGGTGTTGACAAGAAACTAATTGCATCGCTTGGGCCTAACTTCTCTCGACGCGGCTTGGCTCGACTCGCCACACAGCCAACTTCAATCGGAAATTTACGGGCTCAGCCATAAAACACAGGGATAAATCAAGTCGATGGCGGCAACAGGACTTCTCTTGGCCTCTCTGCGAACCTTTCAAAGGAAACTCCAAGAAGAGAGTCTGGGAAAGTGTGCGCACTCTCCCCTTCCGCTACAGTAATATTTCCGCTTCGGTTCAATCGTTAAACTAGCCTCATTTTAATCTCGTGTACTTTTCTTAGCGTCACTACTCTCTTGTGCTACTGATTAATGACCTGGAATAATTTCTAATATTTGAGTTGCTTGCTGAAATCTTCTTATTGACTAACCGAAATTGTGCAAGGGGATTTCGGTCGGACTAGAGCGAGGAAGAGATAGGAGCTCAGCGCGTTACGAGGCGTCGAGACGTCGAGATGTGAGTATTGGACGACCGAAAAAACAAAAAACACATAAACGATACGGAGAATGAGGACGCAGCGGAATACTCTGTTTGGGATAAGGGGTTCAATAAAGGGCCGGGAGCAATTTTAACCCAATAAGTCGTTCGCTTTATATTCATAAATGCGTAATTGAGAGGGTGCGACCAGGCTTTAGCGTACTCTACCTCCCATGGCCTCCCTCGGTCTCTCTAATAAATGATGTCCCGGCTGAGTGACAATTCGGTTCATTGCGGCTTTGTAATTAATTTACAAAGACGATTAGATTCCCCCCCATTTTGCACCATCGGCCTATGCATACTTGATACACCGGAAGTACCACGGTTGTAACGGTACAGTACTATTTACAAGGATAGCAGGAAGAATAATTACCACTTATTCAGTTTCCCAACCTAAACTTAATGCTGCTCCTTTTTCCATTCTGTATCTCTCAGCCGGTCAATATCCAGAATTCCTATACTAGTCCACATATCACTATTTGATAAATACTCACTGTAAACTTTTAGCTGGTTCAGGTTAGGGCTAGTTGCATTGTTACTCGCGTTTTGCTGTTTCTGTTGTTTGGGTTGTTGTGGTCGAGCCGGTGGCATCAGGCGAGGTCTCTTTAGCGGGGGTGCTAGACGTGGCGGAAAGGCCGTCGAGGCGTAGTAACTGTAACAGAATCATCATCTGTTGAGGAAAAAAAACAGCACGAAAGTACCGAAAGCGGAATAGAATGGCAAATTGGAATTTCTTTCTCTGTTCCCAACTCATTTATTCTTCCTATCTATCCTGGTTATTTTCTCCTGTAACTTGCTGCTCTTAATTCCTTACACGGAGTGAGTCTTGACCTCGTAAGAATCTCATGGGGCTCGTCATCGCGATTACGTCGATTAGCCAGAAATAGAATATAACCATGGTCTATCCTCCATCTGCTATTCGCTATCCCCTATCGGCTTTATCTTCTGCCTTCCATCGTTTGCTCTCTATAATCTCTATGGTCTCTATCGTCTATCGGCTATGTGGGTCAAAGTGGTTACGGAAGGTAATCGTGGTCTGATTGCAGCATGGCCAAGTTCTTGAATTTCACGGAACCGAATTTAACGCAGTTAACGCGCGACGAATATGAATTATTTATGAGGGAGCATTTACATTCCCTTCTTTTACTCTTCTATCCCTTTCTCATTCCTTCTAGGTTTGGATCAATCGGCCACTAGAGCGTTCGACATTATGATAATTTTCAAGAGGACAGAAACGCTGCCACGAAATTCTCAAAGTTCATTGAAATCGATAGGGAAGTCATGCGAATTGATGCAGTGTCTAGAAGTGAGTAGCAGAATGAGAGAGAGAGAGAGAGAGAGAGAGAGAGAGAGAGAGAGAGAGAAAGAGAGAGAGAGAGAGAGAGAGAGAGTGAGAGAGAGAGAGAGAGAGAGAGAGATTAGGAAATCCACATGTTCCGTTATTTATCCGTCCATATCCTTCCTCTGTCTGTCCGGTAGACAGTTTTCCCTCTGCGAAGCCTCTCTAAATAAAAGTCCCCGTGTGTCTGGGTGCGCCTCGAGTCTCTATCCTCTCTACCAACGTCCCGGCACCCTGAACGCTAACATTGTAACCAGGAGTACGGGTTCGTGCCTTCCTGGCGTAGTTAAAACTTCCAGAGCGCTTATTTTTTCTCTTTTTTTCCCCTTTTAAGTACTGGATAAAACAACCCCGGATAGAAGACAGAAAAGAGTGTGGAGGTAGCTCATGCTCTTCTGACTCAAGAGAGAACTGAAGAGAAATATGGAGTAAGAAGAAACTAGAACAGAATAAAAGAAAGAGATTGCAAGAGAGCAAGAGAGCACGAGGGGTAAACCAGCTCTCTGACTTGTCGTCCAGCCAACCACTTAGGATACTGTGATCCTGGATACGCAGGTAGTGCAGCTCACACAAATTGGGAGAGAGGACTGAACTAGACTACGAGTATGTATTATTATTATTATTATTCTCGAGACGATCGCGATCTCCTTTCTTTCCTACGCTATCTACTTTCTTGTTCATTTCTTCTTAAAATAAATCCTGCGACTTTCATCAAGCTTTCCATCCTCGTCGGGAAGCTGCTTCTGAGCGCAGACCGATTCACTCGGAGCGGATTCTCTGAGATTGGCACCGGGGACAATTATTTGTTTCCTACAAATCACCCACGTCCCTTCGATCCTGCCACTCTTTTTTCTTCTTTTCTTTTTTTTCCTTTCCCTGTCCCTCGATCGCTCGTCCCTCCTATTTGGTGCTGCTGTACCCCAATCCTCACCCTTTTCTCTTCCCCTCTGCTTCTATCGTGTCTGCCAACACTACTACGGTAGTACTACCAGAGGCAATAATACTACCGGTTGAGGGATGCTAGTAGGTACAGCAGTAGCAGGGTCAGACCTGTCCCAGTAGCTGTGCCTGACACTTGGACAAACCGTGGCATTTCATCCCGAACTAAGGAGGAAAGTATAGTTCGATTCTGTTGAATGGCAGCATTCATGCTTGACTTCTCCTAATAGTTTGCTGCTAGTAGCTTATGTTATAGGAAAGACTAAACAGACGGAAGCGGTTAGAATGCTGTCTTCGGAAGCCAATAGCATCGTACGTTGAATCGGCTTGGAACTATTAGGGGCACCTAGTCGATTAGCCTGCACTTTCGAGTAACTGACTTTACTATGAGTTTTGCTGCAGTTTCTACTGTCTTTTATGTCTATTCGCAATCCGTTTGGACAGTGACCTTTCCGTTTGTTCTTTTCTCTCTATGAGTAACGCTTCGCGAATAATATTTTTTTTCTATATCCTTTGCAAGATGCTGCAGTGTGTGATCCCTCTCCTGATGATTCTTTTACTATCCTCTCCCGTTCACTTCCCTTATATTACTATTGCTGTTTCGCCACAATGGGCACGGGGACTTGCGATTCTACGAGAAGCGTCTACAGACACCAACCAGAGAAGAGCAGATGCTGATTAAGAGATTTGCTGGCTACAAGTTTTATGGAGGCAATGAATAAATTTTTGCAAGCACTCTGCCGCTACCGTAATCCTGGTGTTACGACGTTCAGTTCTCTTACTATGTGTACGTTACCACTTGCGGCCTTTGACTTCGACTGACTTCCTTCTTACCTTTTGACCCTTTAGATAGTAAACGAATTGCCAAGTCGGGTCAGGTCGAATGGGAATTGTCGTTCGATTTCCAATTTTCGGACGGCGCATTGCTTAGTAAAAAGAAGGCGGAGATCATTAATAACGACATTTGGGAACGTCGACAGTTCGCGTAGATTTTGCATACGGATCGCATAGAGTTCCCATGTATTTGTTGGGACAGAGATAGATTTTCTCCTGCGTAAAGTTAACGAGAGAAGGTTTGTATTTTCAAAAATTTTCTTCTTCACATCGTTTGCTAAGTCTTTGCGTTTATCCTATCTGAAAAGGCATAGTTTGTAATATAAGTACGCTGAGTCTCGTCATTTGCACTACTAAAGTTTTTGAACAAACGTAACGTCTGTACGTGTGTCGTGTCAATTCAAGAACTGACATCTCGAAATTTTCTAAAGTAGTGTGAGCGTGTACACGATGGAATTCAGCGTATATACCAGAGACTGTGTCATTTCAGGTGAGATAAATAAGAAAGCTTAGGAAACAATACTTTCAACAAAAAAAGAACTAGAGAGCTAGCGTGAATTTGAATCCACCCTCAAAACTTTAATTCAGTGTAATTCAAAATCGGTGAGGGTAAAAACGGAAAGTAGCATGGATGCAAATTTTAGTAAACGGTTAGCGAATGACGTGAAAAAGAAAATTTTTGAAAATCCTAACATGAGGAAGCGGGGAAATTTCTGACAGATCAGATTTTTATCGAGAAGCGTGTCTGTCGTTATTTCGTTCGCGTGACAGATTGTCCGGATATTAAAACGTATATCAAGCCTCGACTCGCCATTCTCTGCTCTCTTTCTCTCTCATTCTCTCATTCTCTCTTCTTCTCTCTTCTACTCTGGCACTACAGTACATGTTCTCTCTTTCTTCCGCTTTTTCTCTATCTATCGCTCGACACTCTCTTCTCTCGACTCTCGGGAGCAACCGGTTGGCCGAGCAGCCACACGGACACACGCCTCTCACCATGGCTTTGTTAATTACTAGTTATCACGTTGCAATCGGCTGCCAGGATATTTGTCTAGCTGAAAAAGTAATTGCTATTGATTGGTACAGCCTCCGTGCTGGCTTAATGAGAGGGGGAACAACGTGGGGATTTCGACGCGATTTTTTGAAATAGTCAATAAAATTTTTATCGTACATACACGTAAATTTAATTTTTCGAAGGGACGAGACATTTGGGGAGTATTGAGCGTTGAATGTGCACTATTTAGTGGTGTGTATAATAGGGCAGCATAGGATGCCAAGTGACGCAAGGATAAGTGAGTCATAGTCGCGTTCCTGGCAAATGTTGCCAAGGCGTATTCGTACTCGAGCGGGGGCCATTCTTCGAATCGAAGAAAGCGTTCTGGGTCAGTCTAAATATAAGCGCCGTTATTTTACGATGTCTTAAAGTATTACGAGTGGCATGGTGGTCGGAAATAGAAAAATATAAATAGCAAGGAGTGTGTATGCGAATTCGAGTATGTGTAGACGGGCGCATTAATAACGTTGCAGAATTCTTAGCCCGCTGCCCGGCGCGGGCAGCTGTTCCGACGCGTTCACGTGCCGTTTTGCATCCGGCAACATGTCGTCCCTTTCCTCTCCACCCCTCTCCACATCCATCTATGCATCCATTCTTCTGTTCCTCATTCCCGCTTATTCTTCCTAGTTCTATTTCCTTCCATAGTTTAATCCATGGTGCGATCTTTCTCTCAAATCAAATTTTTCATAGTTTTTGGAAAATAATTATAAGCAGGATATATACTTTGATATGTTCTATAAATATAAAGTCTCTTTCTGTACTCATATTCTCCTATTTCTCTCCCTCCCTCTCTCTCTCTAATCTGGGATCTAAACGACGAATTTTTCGCAGCATTAATGGGAAAATGTCATCATACATGAGATGCCTAGTGTGCAAAACAATTATCGTACCAATATTTGAATACTGTGAATACTGTGTTAGGAATGGGGGAAATGGATTTGTAATATTCGCAAAGGCTATAGAACCAGGGAATGGGAATTACTCAGGCGTAGTAACGTTGCAAGAATAAAGGATATGATTGAGGAACTAATGAAGGTAAAATGGAGTATAATATATGTATGATTGTTTACAAAATGGGAAATCGGGTTTTCACTATATTTATCAAATTAGAAGTAGGGCAAAATAGATACGAAACTAAACAAAGAATTTATATCTATTTAAGCAAGTGTAAGACGAGTGAAGAACAGAAAATATTATATGACGGATTTAAAACGTACACGAAGAGACATTTGTAGTAAACTTTACGACAAAGTACCTCAATAGAAAGTCTGATAGAAATTACTATGTTCCATAATGAAACCTCAGATTCAGTATATTAAATCTTATTACAAGGCACATACCAGTTAATGCAATGGAACACAGTGAATTTTACTGAGGAGTATCGTTAGTTTTAAAATAGAAGAACTATGTCGGTCAAGAGCTAACTTACTATGTCTACAGTACAAATTTATTTTTGCTGTTTATTTGGACTACTTCTTACCATTTATTT